AACATGTTACATGTTTATCGAACATATTTTGATATTATTTGTTATATATCATTATTTTTTATCTTTGACAAACGTTTTTTTAATAAAATATCATTTCAATATACTATTTTTGTCTAATTTCTATTGAAAAGACAAATTTACAAAAATTATTACAAGGGTAAAAATTGCCTAATTATTATGAATGAAGTGTAATTAGGGTCATAAAATGAAAAAAATTGTTGTTAAAATTATTTTATATGGCGTGATAAATTTAATGTAAGACAATATCATTATTTCATTATTTTTTTTTTATTTTCTTAAGTAAAATATTTTTTGGAGTACTTATGGAGATTATAGTAATCAAATTTCGGACAAGTATAGGCAGGTTTTTTGGCAACAAGTTGCGTCAATCGCATCGGCGATAAGACCACTAACACGAAGTTAAAAGTAATAATTAAAAATGATTTCTGTGTCGACGATTGCCTCACCGGGGCAGATTCATTGATGGAAGCAATTGAATTGCGTGACGAATTAATTTCAATTATGCGAGGTGGGGGATTCGAATTATCAAAATGGACTACGAACCATACAGATTTATCTCAGAATCAAAACAAAGATGAATTAAAGACCGTACCAATGGATAGAGAAATCGTGAAAACTCTAGGTTTATACTGGGAACCGAAAAGTGATTACTACATACGTACGTCGTACAAGTACCGTAAGTAAAAACTGAAACAACAAAAAGACATATTCTTGACGGCCTAGCAATGTTTGAATTTTTTTTTGAAATGTTTAAATTTAAATTTAAAAAAATTATGGTAAATTGAGTGTATCTTATACCCATACTATTGATTAAAAAAAATACAGTCAGTAGAATCAACATAAACAAATATCCGCCGAAATTGATAGCCGGTGGAATCAATAAATAAAAAAGCTCGGCGGAATCAATAAATAAAAAACCTTGGTGGAATCGATAGCCGGCGGAATTGATATTAAAACGGCGGAATCGCCGGAATCGATAAAACCCTGTTACTTTACCCATTCGGCTTAGTAGGTCCGGTAATATTGGTGGGTAAAATATTGTTGCAATAAGTTTATGGCGTTGCAACAGCCCAGTTCTATCACACATACAAGTACAGCAGGAGACATACAATAATTGTCTAAACGAGCTCAATTCATTTAGTATACCTCGTTAGCTGGGCTCTGACAAGAAGAAATTAATAGAGATTACACGGATTTGCTGATGCATCCACGAAAGCACACGGTGCGTGTATATATGTTACGGGCAATGTGGAATACCGGGCAATGTAAACCACGAATTTTTTTTTAACCAAAGAATATTATTTTTTATTATTATTACACCTATTTATAGTATTGATTTTTTTTAAATAAAATATTAATTTATTAAAATTAAAAAAAAAAATTTTTTTTTTATTTTAAAATCATTATTCATTTTATTCATTTATCATAATACAATAAACTATGAATTTTTCGAAACATTGTGTATAAACTTATTTTTGTTACTTATGGTACTGCCTATTTAAAAATCAAGTGTAGAAAAGCAGACAAACTATGTAATTGTAAGTGCCATGGTTCTAAAACTTGTTCAAATAAATAGGTAAAATCATAAAAATAAAATGATGATACTTGTTATTTATTTATTTTTTTGTTTTTCTATCAAAATATTCGTATTATAGTACATGAATAAAATTAATAATGATTGTTTTTAAAAAAACATTATATTATAAATATGTAATGATAATAATTTATAATAATAATAAATAATAATATTAGTTGGTTAAAAAAAATTCGTGGTTTACATTTCCCGGGCAGAACCACATTGACTGGGCAATGTACACATTGGCCGGTATTCCACATTGCCCGTAAAATGATATATATGCACACAACAGATACGGATGGCATCGTTAAATCGCAACAAGTAGGTGCTAATAACTTAAGTCTCGTATGGCGCCATTAAAGGTTATTTCAGTGCGTTACATGTTCCAAAGCACAGCCAAAAAATGTATCGCTTGTAATGGGTAATCTGCCCACGCTCCGAGGTAGTTTAAATATATTTTTTTAATATTAATAGTAACAGCCATACTACATTTAAAGTAAAAATACGTTAGCTGGTTCAATTAAAGACAATTTTTTGTTATTAGATGTGTTACCATTTGAGTCTGTTTATAAGAAAATAATAATTGTATATATAATTAAAAATTTTGAATCATATCTGGATATTAATAAGGTAATAATTAAAAGACAAAATAGAGCATTTGATGTTAAAATGGAATATCCTAAAAAAACGTTTGGTCAAAAATTCATTGATTATCTAGATCCAAAAAATTATAACTTAATGCCAATAAATATAAAAAAGGACATATTCTTTACAGAAGGTTAAACGTATTACTACAGGAATGAAGATTCATATTTGGTTATTTTCAATACTTTAATAAATTATAACGAAATATATTTTAACTTTGTAATTTAATATTAGTATAAGTATTCTAATTGTATGTATTGATTACTAAATTCTTGTAAGTTTTTTTTTCTACTTATAATTATGTTATATAACTCTCTACCACCATCACAAGCATGTGATGGATAATTTTTGTTTTTCTTAAAATAAAAAAAATAAAACATTGGGTTGGTTTTGACGCTAGGGTAAAAGAGATCAAAAACCCATGGTTTGACATAGAAATACGTCTTTTCTTATTTTTTTGTTCAACTTGATGACACTTTTGAGAGGATGTCTACGCACTATTTTTTGCTCATTGTGTCCCACGCGCAACAAAGCAAATTTATGTTTTGCAGAACCAACCATTATTAAAGTAACAACATATGGTTGGTTCTGATACATTAATTGTTTTGTTGTGCGTGGGACAAAGAGAGCAAACAGTGCTCTGACATCCCCTACTGATCTTTTTATTCTATCCCATAAGTCAAGGTTTTCAACCTATCACTAGGTAGTTTTTCAGCTGATTGGTCTAGTGACTTTTGCAATTCAAGAACCTTTCGTACGTATTCGACATTGTTAACCTAAATATTCTACCTCCACACTTCCTATTCTCCCTCCCTACAAGTCTCACTCACTCTCCCCTCCCCCCATCACTCTTTCTCCCTCCCATTTCTCTCTTTCTCTCTCTCTCTCTATTCACCCCTTTTTTCCATCTCACTACCCCTCACTCTCTCTCACACACACACAGTCTCTATAGTGCCTACAGGTCATCGTACCTGATAATCGGTGAAAATATTTAAATATTACAAAAATAATTTTAAATTAAAAATTTAAATAAATTTCATACCTGACCAATTTCCTAATTTTATTGATAGCCGGAATAGCGTTATACCAGTAGTTGCAGAACAATTAAATTGAAAAGTCGGGGGCAATACAAACTCTGATCATTTCACAATATTAAATAAATCTACTGAAAAATAAAAAGTACATACCACATGTTTTCTGCTATACAACCAAGTCTTTGAAACATTCACGTCAACACATTTCCCACTGTATAATATGACATTGTATTCAAAATTGGCAAATTTTCACAGACGAATACCATCTCTGAAAAAAAAGCAGCCTATATAGTAAAATGTTCAACAATATACGTATGAGCTATTTGTTATTAGAAATTACTTATATTATATAGCTAAAATAATCTCTTTAAGTTTTAGCTTTTATCTTACCTATACTTATTATTATGTGTTAATTTGTGTCTTAACTATTTTATTCAAGAACGTATAAGTTTTATACCTTACGAAAGTCATATTTCTTCACTAGGCATCACGGCAAATTAGTTATCTACTAGAACTCTGTTACTGGTTCATTTTTATTTTAATAATTGTATAATACACAGGGACTAGTTACCATTACTGATTAGCAAGTGTGTTTATTTTATTTCAATATTTTATAAATATCGTTCAAATCAATTATTTTTATTATTAATTAATTTATAATACATTAATTCCTGAAATATTGTGTTTAAGAAAATAAATAATTATTGCAATAAATCAGAGTTAGATAATATGTTATGTGAGTACCTATATGTAAAAAATAATTTAGTATAATAATAACTGCAAGCCTGGGCTAGTTGATGAAAATTTTTAACTGAGTTAAGTTAAGTCGATATGAAACATTTCAAAAAGTTTTAAGTTAATAGTTCTCCTAATTTTATTTTTAATTCAGTTAAGTTAAAATTGATTTGGATTCCATGACTGTAGCACGGAACTGTGCCATACAGTTAAAACCAAATTTTGGTTTAGAAGAAATAAAAACCATTATTTCAAAAAAAGTCTATCCTAATATTCATTCCTTACTTAAAGTAGCCCTGATACTACCTATCAGTTCTGCATCATGTGAACGATCTTTTTCTGCCATGCGTCGTATTAAAAACTGGACTAGAACATCTATGACACAAGATCGTTTCGGTTATCTTTCTGTATTGCACATCGAGAGAGATATTGTTAATAATCTAGACCTCGATATTATACTAGACGAATACTCAAAGAAAGACCGTCGTATAGATTTAATATTATAGTAAAAAATGTGAATAAAAAATATATAATGTAGAAAATATAATAACATATAAATTGATTTATAATATATTATTATTAATAAAAGAATTAAAAATTAATTTTAAGTGACTTTTTGTTCTGGGTCTACATCAAGTATGACTTTTTTTGTTTCTGTTTTTAAAATCAATTTATACTGTCCTGTGTAGACCCAGAACTATGGTTTTTGTTTTGTTTTAGTGGTTAGTATAGGCAAATAGTGGTGTTAGGTCCAATCGAGTCACAAAAAAAACCTGGAGCTTAAGCACCCCCTACTTAAAATGTCTAGTTGCGCCAATGATTTGGAAACTTACGACTAACTTTTTTTTTTAATGTACATTAATAGCCAGTTTTCTGGTTTTAGACCTCTGGTTTTGGTAGCATCATCAATAATAATAATTTTTACTATATTTATTATTTTATATTTTATAAACAAACTACGCAACTACGACTTGATAAAAAATAACTCATTATTTAATAAATGTTTAGCAATAAAAATCAGTTAAGTTAAAAATGTTAAGAATTGAAAATTATATTTAAAAAAAGCTGCAGTATGTGGAGGTCGCTCTGCTGTATATTAGGTTACAATTGGGTCACTGAAATGGATGGTGTTAAGTTTGAATTCAACGATAAAAAATCATTGTATACGGAAAAACGATTCTGAGCGAAGACGGTCTGTCAGTCTGTAATATTACTCAATAATTTAGTATATTCGATGATATTATTGTGATTAAAGAATTTTGTTAAAATTTAAACGTACCTATGTATTTTAAATATTTTTAAACTAATATTGTAAATGTATATCAGGAGAATTGTATTGAATTTTCAAGCTTTTTTGCCCAACAAATACAATTTTATTAAAATTTTATTAACCTCCTGAAAAAAACTAAATAAACTAAAAAAATTCAAAATTCAAATTGTTTGTAAACAGCAAAATTGCATTAAGTATATGAATTGAAAATATATCAAAATTATGTGAATTTCAATATCTGCAATTATTGGTTTTTTATTATAAAAAAATAAGTAAAAATCACTACATAAGAAATGAAGTGAATATCCAATGTTGTCAAAATTTAAACATCAAATGCTTATAAAATTTTAATTCGACTTTCCGGTAGAATTTTTTTTTTTTGGTAAAGGCAGACAAACTTATAAAGAATCTTGTATTAAGTTTT